GCTAGGTGAGCATGCTCAGTGAAGGAAGGGGGTGGAGTTACAGAACATTCCTAAAGCAAAGGGGTGGAGTTACGAATATTCTTGCGACAGAGTGGAGTTTAACAGAACATTTCTGAAAGGTCACACAGTTCAAATAGTCACAAACCATTTTGATACATTGGACAGGAGACTAGCAACACAAATTTACAAAACATTCTGTGGGAAAAAAATGGAGGCAAGGCAAAGGCCTGTCTTACCGTACAGCACTTCTCTATCAGGTGGAGTTCAGGTAACACTGCCCCCTAGAGCTTCATGTTGTAATCTGAGGGTAATAGTCTCTTGGTTACTGATAATTTAAAACTTGGGAAATATTTGGAGACATTGAAACAGATTACTGGCCACATGCCTTTATTTGCATGAACCTGAGGAAAGAATAAGACTTCATCCTATGGGCGGGGTTCCTCTTTGACTGAGGATCTGAAATGTTTGGGAGTGGGCACTTATGAAGCCAGACCCAGGGAGGAGAAGGTCACCATGAAGGAGAGAAGAAACTGGCAGGGTGGTGTGCCAGCTGAGTGGGCCTAGCTGTGAGGTCATGCAAGCCTCTTTTGATTCAGTTCACCCTTTCCTTAGGCTATTAAGGAAAAAAGGAGGCTTTGGCCTGACACCAAAGACCTGTTATGGGAGGCTCAAGATCTCTGCTGGGAGTTGGGTGTGGTGGTGCACACCTGCAATCTCAGCACTCTGGGAGGCTAAGGCAGGAAGATCTCCAATTCAAGCCCAGCCTGGGCAGCTTATTGACTTCATGAGACCCTGTCTCAAAATAAATAAAAAAGGGCTGGGAATGTAGCTCAGTGCAAAGGCCCTGGGTTCAATCCTCAGTACTGGAAAAGAACTTCCAAAAGTAGCTTGTAAGAAACAGTACAGTGGAGTAGGAGGACTATCCAAGCACTTGGAAAGGTGATGGAATAGAATGGTGACTTTTAGGCAGGAGCCCATCTGCTAAGAATTTCAGACACAAGTGGGGAGAGGAATCCTGAAAATACGATATTGTTTCCATACACTGGTCAAACCCATTGTATAACCCACCTCTACCCAGCTCTAATTTGTACCATCCAAAATGGCAGCCACTGGCCACATGTAGCTGTTGGACTCTTAACATATGACTGTATGACTGAGGAACTGCATTTTTTTGTGGGGGGTACTGGGGATTCAACTTGCCAGGCAGGCCCTGTGCCGCTGAGTTAAATCGCCAATCCTGAGGAACTGAGTGTTAAATGTTAGTTTTCGTTGAAAATTTTAAAAACCAAAGTGGTATAAAATAGTTGAAAAATAAAGACTTGAAAAATAAAATTTGAAAAACATGAAAAGTTGTTTTTTGTATTGAAAACTCAAACGTCGACTTTCAATATCTGCAATAGCTCTGTGAATGTGTTTAGACTGAGTTAATTTGGACAGGTGTGGTTCTGAAACTAATGTGCTTTCACTTCAAAATCACATTAACTCTTCCCCAAGAATGTAAACCAGTTGTGTCAATTTGGATTGAACATCAAAATAAAACAACTTTGGGAGTTCTAAATTCAGCTATTAGAAAACTTTTAAGTGTGCTTGGAATAACTTGGGTACATAAATCTACTTTTTTAAGTATAAGTGTTATCAAATCTAAGGTACTGATCAAATAATGCTGATGATTTGGCATGTGAATTGAAATAGGCTATAAGGGTAAACATGCAAGTCAGAGTTTAAGACAGTACTCCCAAGATTCAAAATATTTCATTAATAATTTTAAAATTATATTAAGGTGGACGTGGTTACTCAAGCCTGTAATCCTAGCATTTGGAAAGCAGAGCCAAGAGAATTGTGAGTTCAAGGCCAGCCTGGACTAATACCAAGATTCTGTCTCAAAAGAAAAAAAAAAATCCAAAAACCAAACTAAATCTCACACACACACACACACACACGCACACACACCAAAAAAGAAAAACAATTTGGACATATTGACATAATTAAACATAATGTTAAGATTAGTTTCATCTGCTTATTTTTTCCCTTTTAAAAATGTGACTACTAGAAAACATAAAATTATGTACGTGGTTTGCAGTATGTTCCTAATGCAAAATGCTATGAGGTTAAAGGCAGGTCTGCTCTCTGTAGCTTTCATCTCACGGCACTTAACATGTATTGACATGTGACAGGGGTTGCATAAATATTTACTGAGGAAGAGGATTTAATCTTTGAGGGAGTTTTCCATTAAGATTAAATTCCCCCAATATGCACACCTACTATGTCACTTCCTCAGGACAATTTATTACCCTACACTGTTTCTCTCCCCTCTTTTTTTTTTTTTTTTGGTACCGGGGATTGAACTCAGGTCTTTGTGCTTGCAAGGCAGGCCACCGAACCGCTGAGCTAAATCCCCAGCCCTCTCTCTTCCCTCTTTTTTCTGGTCACCAGGAGCCACCCAGTCTATTGATTTCCTGCCTCCAATTGTTTTCCTCTGAAAGCGCCCAGAGCACCACTCATGACCATTAAGTCACAGCAAGTTGCCTTAATTATCATCAGCATTGCGACATAGTCTTTTTAGCTTAAAACTGTGAACTTCTCTGTACACTTTCCTGTCCAGAATGTCATTGAGAACTTCAGTTGCAGAAAACAAAACTGAGTACCTCTGGTATGCCTTGTCCAAAGAAATTTGGGAGTGTGTTGCTCACCCATTTGCAGGGCTCCTTCTAAAATGCCACGTGGCTCTTTTGTCCAATCCCAGGATGACACAGGAAGCCTGACTCCCTGTGGTGTGAATTACCTTGCACTTGGAGGAAGAGCAGGAGAAAAGAGACATTTCCTTTTGGGCATGACAGGGAAGATTGGATTTTCTGTCAACTCCACAGCACATCCTGTCGAGGCTGGGATCTATTCCAGCCCTTGCTCATTCTTTTGTTCAGAATAACCAGTCTATGTGATGTAATTAAGCCAGACCTTTCACATGAGAAAATAGCTTGCTTTACTTCTTCCTCCATTAGCAGATGAACTTCTAAGACATGATTGTGTTATTGTGTCAAGAGACAGTTTCTAAAGAAGAGTGGCCAAGGACACAGTCTGGGTCGCCCCTTGCCCTCCTCGTATGTTGGGATATGGAGCTACAAGTGCCAGCCAAACCCTTCATTATCACTTGAGGGCAGAGGAAGTACGGAGTAGTACTGTCTGATAACATTGAGCTGCCAGATGATTTTTAGTAGCGTTCATGCAGCATGTGGGCTATACTTATATTAAAAAATAACTCAGTGTTTTTATCTAAAATTCAAGTTAAACTGGGAATCCTGCATTTTTATTTGCTAAGTCTGGAAACTCCAAATAAAATCCTAGATTTACCCTCAAAGAGGCCACCCATCACCCTTTTTTCTCTAAACAGGTGAGATGATGTAGGGCAGTGGTGGCAACCTACAGCATGTGTGTTACTGTGCTTTTCTTTTAAGACAAAAGATGTCAATATATGAGTTGCTTTTTCTAAACTAAACCCTCAGTATTCAGGTTTAATTGCGTTGTTGGCCCTTGGCAATACATAAGTGGGTTTTGAGTTGTAGTTTGGCACTCAGTCTCTGAGTTTCACCATCACTGATTGTAGGGGGTTATAAAAGAATTTCTGTGGGGCATTTAGACAGAATTAGACCAGCATGGTGCTGAATCATCTTGCTGAAAAGCAACTAAGAGTAGATCTGGATGTGTCTGTTTCCTCCTTCCCTCCCTTCCTCCCTTCCTCTTTTGCGGTACTAGAGTTTGGACCCAGGGCCTCCTACATGGTAGACAGACAGGTGCTCCACCACCTACCAGCTACGTCCTCAGTCTGTGGATATCTATCTTCATGTCTTTGATAAGAAAATGAATTGCATGGAGTCAGGCAAACTATAATGTAGTGCTCTACCTGCTTTGCTTTATCTTTTTCTCTTTTGTTCCTTTTATATGCACATCTGGACTCCTCAGCAAGACTGTAAACCCAGGTGGGGAGGAACTTATCCTTTATTGGTGTCCTCCAAATCCAACGAAGTGTCTGGGGACTAACCTGCCAAGAAGTGCTACAGATGGCCAGGAAAATAAGATTTAAAGGCACTGGTAGAAAAGAATGTGGGATCTGAAAGCCAATGGATGTTCTTAGCAACCCGAGCTGCCTGGCCTGGAAAGAGAGCCCCACTGTGCTCAGGAGAAGCCCACCGGCAGCCCTTCTCTGGTCTACTCCAGAACAAATGCTTTGTCCTTGACACCAACACAAGGTGGCAGCCTCCCTGCCACCTGGCAGTTAACCACTGCCTCAGTATAATTGTATCAAGCTGTTGTGAGGAAGCCTGATTTAAATAAGGCCCTGGCAGAGTGGGAGCCAGCAGAGCCTTTTCATACCTGTTAATGAATCCTCGTTAGAGACAGCAAGCACCTGTGCTGGGAACTGGGAGCCCCTGTCTGCCAGGCTCTCCCTGCCAAAGGGTGATTAACTGAGTGAGTGACAGCAGCAGCAGCTCTGTGCAATTACTTGATGAGGGGACTGAGGGTGTGCGGCCCTGCGTAGCAAGCTGTGTGGGAACTCGGCAGAATGTGCGCATCCACGCGCCCCTGCTTCCAGGGCTGAGCTGGCTTCCAGGTTCCACAGCCTCAGATGGACCTCCTTTAGATAGCTGGCCTTTCCGGGAGGGGCACTCACCTTCTAGCCCTCTGGCTGGATTTAGGTTAGGGATTAGGTTTTGGTTAGGAGGCAAACAATCAATGGTGCCTCTGTACCTCCATGGCATGGGCTCCCACAGAGCTGGAGCACCGCACTTTGTCTTTTGGCAGCGTCCCTTGTACCCAGGTGGAGCAATTATGGGCAGCCCCATAGTGTGCTGCTGCAGGGAGAACAAGGCTGCTTGGCTGAAATGGAGCATTAGGGGGTGTCTTGCTTATTTCTGTGCCTCAAATAACAAACTGAATTGGTGTGCAAACTGTACATAGTTGCTCTGCCCATGTGGCTTAATAAGTGAATTCTTTTGATCCTGCAGGCCAGAAAGGAAAACCAGTTGGAGTCGTTCCAACCAGGAGACCCCTTGCTTTCCTCCTCTTTTAAACTTTCTTAAGGAAAAACAACAAGGTTTCTTTGTTTGGGTCAGCCTTGGTTATTCAGAGCCTCAGGCATGGAGGTCTTCAAATGTGCCTGTGTCCGATCTGTCCCTCTCTGGAGTCTGGATCAGCAGCTCACAAGGACAGAGACTGGCATGGATATGTCGACCTACATGACAGGTAGGTTGACAGAAACTTGAGGGAAGTACTAAGAAATTAGGCTGGGCTTTTTAAAAGTGTGTGTGTGTGTGTGTGCACGCACACAAGTAGTTTTAGAGGCACTGAGAGCCTGTGGTGAGACACAGGTGGTAGTTTCAATTTTAATCAGAAGGCAGAGTTACTGAGCCTGAGTAGGTGGCAGATGCAGGAAATATATTGGGATTGCCTGAGATTTGAAAGGGCTGGAGAAAGAATCCTGGAAGAAAATTCTGTGACTGAAAGCAGGGTGAGCATCCACTACCTAATTAGTCCTCTATAGGCTTAAAGTGAAGTTCCCTGTATGCTGATTGAGGTGCTCTGCCAACAGCAGGTGAGATGTGTGTGTCTGCACGGAAATGCACATGCGGAACATGTTCAAGAGGTCTTCGCAGGCTGGGATGTCTGTAAATATGACACAGATGTAATGCAGGCAATAAAGCATCTCCTTCCCAGCCTCTCTCCCCACCAAAAAACTGGCCCCATGTTATGCCTGCCATGAGCACAATTTTTGCCCAAGCAGTACTTGTATGATGCTAAACCCAAAAACAGTTGACCCTTGGATGACAAGGCAGATGGCATCATACTCAAAGATCCTTTCAGAGTCTTCAAGAATGGCCTGCTGGTCTGAGCAGGGGGCATGGTGGCAGAAGTATGCTTAGCATGCTTTAGGCTCAGGTTTCCATCCCTAGCACCAAACCAAATGAAGCCAAAGACAAAACAATTGGGAATGATGGCATGTGCCTGTAATCCAAGCACTCAGAAGGCTGAGGCAGGAGGACTCCTGTGAGTTCAAAGGCAGTCTGGAGTACATAGTATGACCCTGTCTCAAAAAAATCAAACCAAATAAACAAACAACGGCAACAAAATAAACAACCAAGAGCTTCCTAGAGCAAAGGCCAGGCAGAGTGATATCAAACTCCACCTGACAGAGAGTTAAACGAGGTGGGCAGACTGGTAGTATGACCCTGTCTCAAAAAAATCAAACCAAATAAACAAACAACGGCAACAAAATAAACAACCGAGAGCTTCCTAGAGCAAAGGCCAGGCAGAGTGATATCAAACTCCACCTGACAGAGTTAAACGAGGTGGGCAGACTGTGAGCTGCACACAAAACATTTATTTGGATAGGGGCCAATGGAGGTTGCTCATGTTACAGATTGCGTAAATGAAGGCAAAAGACCCTCTCCACCTCTAGGAAGCTTTTCCACCCCAATGGGACCAGCTGAGGAATCCAGCAGGGATTGAAGCTCTTCATGCAGTGTTACGGTCAGTTGGTGAAGAAGGCTGTGTTTTCTTTGAGAAAAGAGGAAATTTCTTCATTAGCTGGAAAGAAGCACATGTGAATCAGAAGCAATACGTGAGGAAAATCAGTAAAAATATCATTAACAGGATTTCTAGAAAGGCAGATGTCTTATGATAAAGAAGGTGGCCTTAGGAACAAGACAGTTTTGGATTTTAAATCCCCAAAGCAGGAGCCAGGTGTGGTGGTGCATACCTGTAATCCCAGTACTCTAGGAGGCTGAGGTTGAAGGATCACAAGTTGAAGCCCAGCCTGGGCAATTTAGTAATTTATGGAGGCACTGTCTCAAAACAACAAAAAAAAAAGTTTTTAAAAAGGCCTGGGGATGTAGCTTAGCATGGAGGCCCTGAGCTCAATCTTAGTAACACACACACACACACACGCATGCACGCACGCACAAAGAAGAAAAAGGCAGTAGCAAGGATTTTCCCATGGTTATTAGCTCCTTGAGACTAAAGAGCTGCAGTTATTACCTTCTTAGCTGTGTGGTCTTGGACAAATGACTTAAACTGAGACTGTTTCCTGTCTGTGCAAGGGGTGTGGCTGGGGTGAGGGTGAAAGCAAGCAGGAGGCAGGATTGCACACTCACTAAGCACAGTAATTACCTAACTCTCTACTCTTCCTGTTTGTTTAAAGTGACTTTTGCATATTTACTCAGATGTTCATAGACATCTGAAAGAATGAGCTTTGTTAGGAACATCTGGCTTTCATAAGCAACAGAAAGCAATTCAATAAAAAGACAGTTGGAAAGAAGCTGGATGACATGTTTTTCACTTGAAAGAAGGCGGGGAGATGTTTCCCTGTGGCTCTCTTGCCTTTCTTCCTTCCGGAGAAAGACGTTATACTCACAGCCTGAGACGTGAGCTCCAGGCCCCACTCTCTTCCTCCAAGTGTGATGGTGGACAAATCCTTCCCAACTGAATCATCTCTGGAGTCACGAGGGGTTGGCCTATGTGATCTTAAGTTGTCTCCTAGACCTGCTACCCTGTTCCTTATTCCATGCATGTTGATACAGAACTATGATAAAAATAAAGGCATGAATTTATGGAAAGAGTTTGCAAGGAAGCTAAGCCCCAAGGCTGATGCAGATGGCTCTGAATCCCCATCTATTAAAAAAGACTGAATGTATGTGCACATATATTCCTATGTGTGTACATGTGTGCATTTGCATATGATTATGGCTGGCTGACTGTCCAAGCCTTTCCCTGCCTCCACTATGAAATCTGGACTAGCCAAACAGCTGCGTTCCCAGCAGGTTCTGGTGAATGAGATACAAGAGAAAGTTCTTTCTTTCACCGATTAAAGAAGAATCACTCAGCCTTTTTGCCACCGACTCTTCTCTCCCTCTTCTTTAGGCCATGAAGATGTGATATCTGGAGCTACAGCAGGCATTTGACAACCACAGGTGACGAAGCAGACAAAAAGCCAACATGTTGTATGTTAGGAAGATGAAAAGAACGCGAATCTTTAATGAGGTCACTAGATCACCTATTTTTTCTTTCTTTCTGTTTTGGTACTGGGGATTGAAATCAGGACCTTGTGCTTGCAGGGCAGGCAGTGACACCACTGAGCTAAATCCCTGGCCCCAATCACCTATGTTTGAGACCCTGAAATAAATATGGTTTATGGTTATGCTCAGAGTGCTCTGTAGAAACAGCAGTGTAGGCATCACCAGAGAGATAGTCTTGTGTCCCACCTGAGACCTTCTGAAGCAGAATCTGCATTTACAACAAATACACGCCCAAGAAACAAATGAACTAACCTGCCCTGTTGTCTGAGGTGCATATTGAAGTTTGAGGTTTATGGAACCACTAATTAGGTCCTATTTATGCAGCTGAAGCACTGTGACAGCTATCATGTACGTCTTACGTATGTATATGTGTTATATGCATACACACATGTCCACGTCCACACTGTACACCTATGTGTATGTGGGTAAATATGTATCATCTGTATATGGGTAGAAAAATCCCCAGGTCCTAGCTGGGCAGTGGGAATGAATGTAGAGGGGTGGGGTGGGGGAGGAGTGCTCTGGAGTGATCTCTCTTTCCCTCCCCTTTTTCCATAGCTGGAGATTTAACCAGGGCCTCGCTCAAGCTAGGCAAGAGTTCAGGCTCCTAGCCACGCCACCAGCCCTCCTTTTCATCTTAATGACTTCTGTACTGTTTGAAGAGAAATAATTTATCGACCTTCACAATCAAAGACCCTCTCTGTAACTGCCGACGGAGGGGCGGAGCCTACCCGCTGTCTGCCCGGTCCAGCAGCGCCAGGTAGGACCCCACGTCCTTCTGCAGCTGGGCCCTGCGAGCCAGGAGGCGCGCACGCTGGCGCTGCTGCTCCTCTGCCTCCCCGCGGACCTCACTGAGCTCTGCCTCCAGCCGGCCCACCACAGCGCCCAGGTTCTGCAGCTCCATGTCGTGCCAATGCTTTGCGTCTTGCAGCGAGTTCTCCAGGCCTCGTTTCTGCAAGAGAGCAAACTAGTTCACCCAGGGCCCACGGGCCGGCCCTCCAGGGCGAGGTGCGCAGAGCTGGAGCGGCAATTTCTGACAAGATCTTAATAGCTTTTGTGTACTGGTGAGGGTCAGGGCTGCAGGGCTCCTTGGAAAAATAAGGGTCTCTCCCCAGAAGGGAGTGTGGGGTTGGGCGAAGGCAGAGAGGGAGAGAGAGAGAGAAGATGAAGACAGAAAAGAGGAGAGAGAAGAGCCAAAAAAGCAGAAGTAAGGAGACGGGGGAGGAAGAGAAGTTTTTAGGCCTTTTTCCGCTCTGCTCCGCTGTGAACTGCCTCAGGGGCCTCTTCTCAGGATCCTCCCCCGCTGGAGACCTTTGCCCCTCCATTGCTGAAATCCCATCTATCTTTATTTAGGCTAAACACCAGACTCCAGACTCCAACAGAAATCACCGTAGTTGGCATGGAGACCGCTGGCCCTTACAAGCTCAGCTCTTTAGAGCGTTTTAGGAGCACGTCTTAGCTAGGCCCTCTTCCTCTGCTCCTTCCTGGTGGATCCCCCACTGCCCACCCAGAGCCTACTGCTCTCCCTCGGAGCATTGCCCCTGGACGCACCTGCTGGGTCTCCAGCTCCCTCAGGATTCTAAAGTCTTCTAGGCTGGTGGTGACTCCTGCACTGCTGCCTCCGGCTCGGCCGCCTCCCACAAGGTAGGAACCGACAAACTCAAACCAAAGTGTCTAAAAGGCAGCTACTGCCCTCCTTCTGAGCCAGCTCTCCCCTCCTAGACTATGTTTTACCTGGTAAACGTACTGAGGTACAAACTGGGGAAGGATTGTCCTTGGTCTTCCTTCCCTCCCAAACACTATCCTCACTCTCTGCGTTTCTGAGTCCTGCCGCTTGTATCTCCTGTGAAGTCTTCATTTTCATGGCCTCCTCTCTTGACACAGTGGCACAGGCTGGGATACTTAGCACCTTTCACCTGGAGTCAGCTCAGTGGCCTCTTAGTTCATCTCCCTGCTTGTGGTTCTCGCTCTTCCCACACCCCACCCGACCACCCCAGTGTCTTGTCCAAAGTCTAAACCTGGTCCTGTCTCCTCTGCTTAGAGTTCATCAGTAGCTCCCAGGGACCCTAGCACGGCACACAGCTTCACTCTCACCCTACAGCAGAGCCCTCAGTGCTTCCAGTCTTGGAGTTTATTGGGCTCATGCTGTTCCCTACCCAGGCACCACCTGTAATCCTTCTCCCTCCCTTCCAGCATATTCACCTGGCTCGCTCTTACTCATTCCTGGATCCAAGCTCAGGGACCACCTCCCCCAGGCAGCTTTCCTTTACACACCTCCACCCTACTACCCCAGTGAGCTACGCTTGCTTAGGGCCATGTAGGGAACAAGTCTCTGTAAGCTTAGTACACAAGAAAGAGGACCTGTACAGAATAGGTGGTCTGGTATACCTAGGTTGCCCAGGATGAAGATGTTATGTATAGTTACATTTATTGCCCTTTCACCCCATTAACCTGGAAACCTTTTTCTTCTCCTCTTTCCATATACTCTGCCCTGAAAATGACAGTTGGTTAACAAATACCTTTAAAGACCTATGTGCCTCCATGTTTAATATTTTTACATAGTTTAAACTATGGTAGACTTATATAGTTTAATGTCTGACTTTTTAATATACCATACAGACATAAAAATCTTTTTTCTCAGTTGGATTCTGGTGGAACAAATTTCCATGTCCTGCCCTCCAGAAGAGTTTTTCAAGTCCTTGTGACCACCGTGGCTGACGTGGAGGATTCTTGGTCACAGAGCCATCTTGAATCACGGTAGTTTTGAAGCAGAGGTCATTATATTATCTTACTTAAATCTTCTAATTCCATAGTATATGAGAATGTTGAGTCAGACTCCTAGTGTAGACCATTTTAGGAGGAAAAATATGAAAATTGTTACAAAATAAATCTAGATCAGTAAATGGTCCAGGATTATTGTTTGACTGTGGGATCTGCAAACTCCTCTATAACAGTGAGGATGCAGACTTTGAGAATCATTTGTTTCGATCCCCTTGGGTCTTCTCCCTTTGTATAGGAGGTTGCTTGATTTGTGAGTAGTTGTTGATGTTGGAGTTATAACACCTGTATTTGTAAAAACTTCACAGAATTATGGTTGGATCTTCTGTCTGTGGCTTTTGCTCCATACTCGAGGTGAGTGCTCCTTGCAGCCTGAGGATTTTCCTTGGTGACTTAGGATACACTGCCCAGCGGGGTACTCATGGGAACTCCTGTCAGAGGAGACACATCCCACCCTTAGAATCCACATCTAACTTCCTAAGTCCCCAGTGTTCTGGCAGAAAAAAAGGATGCCTGGTTACCTAGAGATGTTTGAGATTGAGTAACTGGTCAGGCTACTGCTGCAGCTCTCAAAATCCTGGCCCTTGTTACATAGGCAGCACCAGCAACAAACTGAGGTGACAGGAACCCACTTACTCCCCAGGTCTCTGGAGACTTGAAGGGGCTTTCTTGAATTGCTAAGCCCTCTAGAATGTAAAATATTGACTTTCTGAGACTTCTGGACTCAAATTCTACTTCTGATTTGATAACTAAACACAAAATTCAATAGTCTTCAAGTACCCTATTGGTGCTTCCAAGATAAATAGCACCACAATGGCAAAGGGGGCTAAAAATTTTGTCAGATTGACTGTGGGAGGCTTGCATGAGCTGTGGGGGCCTTGTGGGTGCACATCTTGCTCTGAGGACCCCAGAGATGCACTATACCAAGGATGTTACTTATTCTGGCTTGGTCTGTGCTCCTCATCTTGACTGCCAGGGCCAGGAACTGGGGCTTAGTGGAAACTGCAGGGGAGCCTAACCCCTTCTGAGTCATGAGCACAACCAGAATACCACTGCTCTCATATTTTGGTTGGGTAGATGAGTTCATTTTTCATTTGTCCCAACAGTGAGGGTTTAAGCAAGGTGACCAGATGGCTGATAATGCCAACTTGGGGTTAGTGAGCTAGTGATTAAATTTTATATAATAAATAATAATAGATGATATTATTGCTCACTCTGTGGCAGGAACAGTGCTAAGGGCTTGACATACATTACCCAATTGACCCTTCCTTCCAGGGACTTTATGAGGTAAACTCTATTCTGCTCTTATGGTAGATTACATTCCAAATTTCAGTTTCCAGCTGAAACACTTATCAACACATGCTCTTTCTCAATGTGACCTTGCCACTGTTCCATCAGGAGAGAGGATTTACTTTCCTTCCCGTTGAATCTGGCTGGTCTTGTGATTGATTGGACCGAGAGACTGAGGTGTAAGTGGCATTCAGGGACTTCCAGGCCCATTTGTTAAGACGCCTGGTTTTACAGCTTCTGTGCTCAGTCTCTGAGGGAAGCCAGATGCCATGTCAGAAGCCCCATACTATGAGACCCCCTCAAAATGTGGGAATCCCAACTGGCTATGTGGAGAGGTCACACGGTGTCAAAAACAGGCACCACACATACGAGTTAAGGAAGCCGTTGTTGGGTGTCCTGGCCCCAGGAGACATTGTGCAGAACAGGAGAAGAGCTGTCCTCACTGAACTCTGCCTGTATCATAGAATGAGGGAACAGATGACCCACTGTTGTTTTAAATCACTGACACAGCAGACAGATATGGAAACCCAAATAGGTCCTTCGCTGGGGCAAGTGAGAAAATGAAAGCTTAGAGGAATGCCATAGCCAAGAGAGCAAGAGTCAGATGTAGGTTTTGAGGTGGGTGGAGCCCTTCTAGAGCCCTGTGCTCAACTCTGCTCATCTCTAGTTGCCCCTCTCCTCTGCACCCACCATGAAGTTGGCCTTGTGACTCGCACAGTGCAGTGGTCTCCCCACCTGCCACCTGCTTGCAGGCAGAACCATCCTGTTCCTATAGTTAAATCTACTCCTTCACTGATGTCACATGGACTCATGGGGGTCAGAGGCTATGTTTAATTACTCTTATGTCCCAAAGCATTTGGCACAGTTCTTGGAACACAGTAAGTTCTTCAGAGTGATGCAGTGGGGTAAGAACAACATGCTTTCATGCATTCTCTTATCAGACCTTCATAGACACACTGAGGCATGGGGTGGACTCTGACTGTCAACCCCATTTTGCAGAAGAGGAAAATGTGGTTCAGAGATTGTTCCATTTACACAGGTCATAAGTCTTCGGACTCTATTACTCTTGTTTTTCTAAGTCTTCAGATCCTTTCCTCATGCCCCCTTGCACTGGCCCAGAGCCTATCATCAGCCTCAGTGAACTCCAGATCTCAGTTGCACAAGCATCATACCAGTGAACCCTTTCACACAACTCTGCTGTGCACCAACAGTGCTCGTGGTTAGAACAGTAGAAGTGACTTCCTTAGAGGAGACCCTAGGAGGAGCAGTGCCTCATATCTACCTAACAGAATTAGTCCATGCCAGAGAACAGAGGGTGGTTGGCTGTATAATCATTTGGTTGTCCCTTGGATCAGCTTCAGCTTCAGAACCCTGTGGGTACTCACTCTGGATGCCCAAGTCCCTTACAGAAAAGGGTGTAGTATTTACATATAACCTATGCAATACTCCTATATAGCTCTTGTAAATCTCTTTAAACAGTCTATACAGTGTGGATACCCAATGCAATGTAAATGCCATATAAACAGTTGTATTGTGCGCCGGGGATTTGGCTCAGTGGTTCTGCTGCCTGCCTTGCAAGCAGAAGGGCCAGAGTTCGATCCCTGGTACCAAAAAAAACCAAAACAAAACAAAAAACACAACAACAAAAAACAAAACAGTTGTATTGTTAGGGAATAACAATAAAAAACTGTACATGTTTAGTACAGATGTAATTTTTTTCTCAAGTATTTTCAATCCAAATTTGGTCAAATCCATAGATGTGGAACCCATGCCTGCACAGAGCTGACTGTAATTACTTTAACTAGTAATGATTAGTAACTTCAAGAGACATGCCTGCAAACCATAGTGAGTATGAGGAGCTTACTAATGGGTTAGATGGGGTTCTCCCCAAGCAGAGCCTCAGACAAGGATCCTGGAACTTGTAAATAATTAAGAGATTTTTCTCAGAAAAAAAGAGGACAGAATCAAGGAAGGTGGTAAGCAAGGATGTGTTCTCAGCTGGAACCAGGCTACAGCTTTGGAGAGTGAATTGCTTGCTTTGAAGCAGCTCCCTGTCAATCAGTCACAGCTTGAGGGCTGCAGAGAGAAGGAGCCTGACTTCAGGGCCCAGGAGGCCTCTGTAGGGCTAAGGATAATTCTGGGTAAGTGGGGCTAAAAAGGGGGCAGCTGTGGGTGTCAGCAGCCAACGTTCCAGTGGTGGCTGGCAGGGGATATTTTGGTAGGCCCTACAGTGCCTACTACACTTGTTCTGACCCAGTACTTCATGCTCCTCCAGAGTCTTTAGCCATGTCGGGCCCCCAAATCATAGCCTGCGGAATGGGGATCCTCTGAAAACTATAACTCGTATGAATTTGACAGTTTGGAGTTAGAATTAATACAAGAAATACCAGGGCTGGCCCACTCACCAGAGCCCGTAGGGATTCCGTCTCAGCCTGGAGGCTCTGGACTTGGCACGAAGTGTTGTGTAACTCTATTCTGAGGGCTGCAGCCAGCTTCTCTTCCTGGGTCTGGGACACGCGGGCCACCTCTGAGTCCTGCTGTGGAAAGTCAGGTCTCAGGGTGAGCAGGGATGAGTCCAGGGCCTGAACCCCATCCTTTCTTCTCACCCTTTCTAATCTACTGCCAGAGGAAATTTATCTGTCAGATTAAAAAGCCTCTCTTTTCTATAGGCCCACTCACCAATTTGCACTCAAAAAGTTACTTATTTTGAACATGCAATGCTTGCAGACAGAATAACATTCAAAACATTTCCTGAGGACTATAGAGTAGGAAATGTCCTTTCCCTCCTGTGTGCTAATAAAACAGTTTTCCTGTTTCCAGTTTCTTATACTTCTGTCCAGAAATACCTCAGGTAGAATCCTGTGTCGATTAGTAATGGGGGCACGTTCTGAGAAATGTGATTTTAGGCTATTTAGTTGCTGTGTGAACAGCACAGTGTGAGCTTGTTCAAGCGAAGATGGCTAAGGTGTTGCTAAGTGACAAAATCTGATAGACTACACTCCATATTCAGGCCATCATTTAACAATACATGATGTGGTACATAGCTGTATTAATACATAAGTATCGCTGTTGGGAGCCATGCTACATAATTTTGGGGAAAATCATTTCATAATTTAATTATAATTAAGGGTGTCTGAGGCCTAGTCTTCTTGCCTGCAGGCCAGTTATGGCATGCAGAAACCTAACTTGTTTTGCCTCCAGCCACAGTTGAGACCTTAATGGTCCCGTGATACTTGTGATGCTCAAGGGCACAATTACATCAGGTGAAGACATTCTGATTCTTTGAGAACCAAGTAGTAATAAAGATAAGGAGAAAGGACTCATCTGGGGCGAGACAGATTAAGTTTAACTCATCCCACCTACTATTGTAAGAATGGTTTTGCTCAGCTCACCCATCCATATCAGCATAAGATCCTCATCAACCCTAAGATCCCCTTCAGAACAAGGTCCGCATCAATTTAGGATTATCACCGCCCTCTGAGTCATCTGATACTCCCTCCGGTTATTGTATGACCCCAATACATAGCGGCAAACTCGGAGTGTCTTTGTCTTTGCCTGCTCTGAGGTACTCACCTGCTGGCCCACCACGTACTTTGAAATTACGTAAGTCTCTCTTTCTTTCCTTAGCCTTCACCATCCCCTTTTCTAGGCAGTTGGAGGATTGATCACCCGATATGTCACCCCTCCCTTGCTTTATTATAATATGTCTTAGTGATTATTCTATACCAATGTATAACAATTGATGACATTCTTTTCTTTTCTTTTTCTTTTTTGAGACAGGATCTCACTATGTAGTTGAGACTGACCTGGAACTCACTATGTAGCTCAGGCTGGTCTCAAACTCACAGAGATTCTCCTGCCTCAGCCTCCCAAGTGCTGGGATTACAGGCTTGTGCCACCATGCCCGGCCGATGACATTATTTTCAATGGCTGCATTACATTGCCTAGCTTGGAAGTATACAATGTATTTGGAAGGCCCTGTTGATGGACACTTAGGTTGTTTCTAGACTTTTCTTATTATAAATGATGTGCAGGGAATGACCTTGCATCCCTCATTTCTTGCTCAAGGGTGTGCTTCTGAGAGCTATTTCCTGTAGTGCACCTGTCAATTTCAGAGGTAAATATTTATGAACTTGGTGAATGTTTCCAGATTGTCCTTAAGGGAACTTGTAACACCTGAAGCACTGAAAGATAGCACCCACTGCTCCACATCATCCTCAAACAAGGATTGAAGTTAGTCTGATGGTTCCCATTTCCTTGTAAAAACCAATGTAGCTGAACTTGTGAAAGTCTATGTTTTGAACCTTATCTCCAGAGCAAGAGGGACAGATTCTGATTCTATGCAGAAATTTAGGGGAGCAGGTTCTCTTTGCCAGGAAAAGGTGAAAAATGAGGGATCACCCTAATTTCTTTCATACAGTCTGATGGAATGTTTCCAATGGTATAGGAGGAAAAAGACCTGTTTTCTCTCCTAGGTTACTGGTTTTCTGCAATTATCTTTTTTTTTTTTTTTTTTTTTTTAATTTTTTTTTTTTTTTTTTTTTTTTTTTTTTGCCACATATGAATACCAATTTATAGAAGAATGCAAAAATAGTGCAATCTCACTGACCAACTAAGAACCCGCAAGTCAAGAAGGTTATATCTCGGTCATAGTATTGTCAGTTCTTGTTCTTTGAAGGCTGCACATAGCTCCACAGAATGACCGCTAGACTTGGGAGTGGCTGCAGGAGAGCAGAAGCGGGGCCCTGCTCTGACTGGGCCAGCATTCACCTCCCAGAGGCTCAGCCCGGCCCACAGGACAGTCCCGGCCCACAGTGAGTAGAGACTGGTGATCACAGGATGACTACCTTCCCAGCCACTGTGTGGGGGAAAGCCCACAATGTGGAAGCTTTTAGAAGCTTAAAATCATGAACACATTGCCTATATAAATTTTTATATGTTAAAAAAAATAACAGTAGTCAACAAATGAGTTTGTAAAAGCACTAGGAGTTGGATGCTACCCACACAGTCAGCATATATTAGGCATTTACTCTGATCCAAGCACCATGTTAAGAGCTTTAAGTCTGTTTTCTCCTTTAATCTTTATAACAAATGAAGCAAATGTCATCATTATCCTTGCTCTACATGAGGAGACTGCAGCGCAGAGATTGAGGGATTTGCGGAAGACCATGGGGCTGGGGCTGGGGCTGGGATGAATGCCCAGCAGCAGACCCAGAGCTGCACTCTGAGCTGGGGCACAATGTGGCCACCTCCGCCAACCCACCCATTTAAGACTCTTGAAGTTGGGGTGTCTTCTCCTAAAGTTAGGTGGATCACTTTGTTCTCAGGCATTAATGTGCATCGGCATTATTTTACATGTGGCTCTTGTGAAAAGTGCAGGCTCTGATGTTGGGCATCCTGAGAGGGGCCCAGGAATCTGCATTTCCCACTCCTGGGTCATGCCTGGTCCTTGGAAGAAAAATTCTAGATTGCTACAGAAACTTATAAAATAGCCTCACTTGCCACAGATAGAGGATAAATGAAAAATTAATAAAATTATAACAAATCAACGTTTTAAAATTCTAGCAACTGTTGCTTGCCAAGTCTCACATTCCATTTTCTCTTTGTTGAGAGGTGAGATTAATAAGAATACTAGAACTGTTAAAGATCCATCAACACCAAGTAGAGATTTCCTTTTAGAAATTTAATATTGGAAGAGAAAAAGAAATTAATGTGATCACTGTTTGAGTTCCAATATCTTTTTTTTTTTTTTTTTTGGAAGCAGGGATTGAACTTGGGACCTTGTGCTTGCAAGGCAGGTGGTGGCACCACTAAGCTAAATCCCCGGCCCTCCAATATCATTTAATATTTTATTCTCCCTTAAATTAATTTGGCACCAGCATTGCTTGCCAGTTAGTATCTTTCACTCACCTAAAGTATTACACATTCTTTTGCGATGACTTTTGAGATTTATGCTTTCTGGTTATTATAATAACTCTGCTGCTATTTCCATTTCAATCCACTGCCTCCGGATATCTCCTCACAGACCAGATTGCAGGCCCTGACGACAGGTAGGGTGTGTGATAAGATTCATATATATTGGTCCCCAGGTTTTAAAATCTGCTTTACTGTGCAGGAGTGAGCTGCTCATATCTGCACTTTACCTATATTTCTGGGGCAGGAGGGCATGTTGACATTTAGAAATATAATAAAGATTTTTCAAATTTGAATATCAAGTCATAACCCAGTGTTTGAGAGTCTAGCTATTGGAAGTACAAATAGAAGAAAAAGGGGAAAAGAGCCATCTCCAAATCCAACCTGCTTTGCTCATTATCATTGCCATCCCTGCAAAAAGCCTTGGCCAGGACACTGACCTTGTAATGTGAGAGGAGAGTGGGCACCTAGGAGCAGGCAGGGGGTGGAAAGAGTAACCATGCTCCCTGTTCTTTCATATGGCAGGCATGTCTTAAAAGACCATGTATCCCCCTTTCCATGGAGCGCTGGTCTACATCCCCAACCATTTATTTATTTATTTAGGTACCATGGATCAAACTCAGGACCTTGCACTTGCCAGGTGGGAGGGGCACCCCGGAGCTACATCCCTGGCCCAATCTTTATATTTTGTTTTGAGACAGGCCTCACTATATAGCCCAGGCTGGCCTTGAACTCCTAATCCTCTTGCCTCAGCCTACTGACAGTTGGAATTCTGGGCATGTAATACCACACCCAGTTCTAGTTCTGCCACTTTCTAAATGTGTGACCTTGAATAAACTACCTAACCTGTCTGTGCTTCAGTTTCTGCCTTTGTATAGTGGGTAAAATCATAATACTTCCCTAGATGAAATGAGGACATACCTGTGAACTACTTAGAACATACTTGCTAAGTGCTCACATGTGTGTCTGGTGCTGCTTTTCCGGCATGTCTCATTCTTTCTCTTAGAACAGTGGTGGCCTTTATCTATTCCTGCCTCCTGCCTCCATCTGCCAACCTCCACATTAGACTGTAGGTGCCTTGTGTGCAGGGACAACTTCTCTTCCTTTAACCCCCTGGAACCCAAACATGGCTCTTTATAACCAGGACATGCCCAGCAACCTTTTGTGAAGGTTGAGCATGTAACCAGGTACATGCTCAGGACTCTAGAAGAAGAGGAAGATCTGGGAATGGAATTAGACCAAATCTCCCTTTCACTAGCAAAATCAATTATTATTATTAATTATTATTATCACAGCGGGGTTGTAAATCACTTTACAGTTACACAGTATCACGTACTATTTAGCTGAGAGCTTTTGACAGGCAGCACACACACCTCTGACCACCTCTGGCCAGATGCAGGGTTTATTGGTAAGAAGTCTGGATGCCATTCAGCCCGTGACGTGAGGCCTCCTGAGTGGGAATTACAAAGCACATGTCTCTCTCACAATCTGAAACCTCAAAATGGGCAGAATACCAGGCCTGGCTTGGCAAGGCCAAGTTTCTCCTTGAGTTTATATGAGAACTGCCAGCCTGTTGAAGCTGCTTCCTTACAGGCAGAGGACCAAACCCAGCCTCTGTCAGAGC